CAGTAAAAGTTACTATCATTAAGCTCAGGCTTATCTCAATTCAAGCCTCTTGAGAGGATGTTGATTGTATCGGGGTAGGAGAAGTCTCATATAATCTTTAAGTAGTCAGACTTATACCAAAAACTCCTCCATCAGGTTACCTGGACCAACATAAATATGCCCTTCTCCGTAAGAGTTGCCCGGCACCACTACTTTATCCCCAAAGGGCCTAAGGTGTTAGTACACGCTAGCAGAAATCTCCTATGTGCACATCAGTTCCTGCAAGGTGTTTATCAATTCATCTAGGGGAGTGAAAACCTCTGCGCGTCAGTGTCTCGCCAGTGGCTAACTGTCAAGACGCCTAGGAAAGCTAACTAAATGACTCTCTTCCCATGTGCTATGACCTATGCAAGCACCAGTAGACTCGGACATCAGCTGTCTTCCGGTTAAGTTTGATCTTTCTTCATTGCGAACTTAGAAGGTCTACAATGCTCCCAAGGGGAGCTGTGGTAGCGGCAAGACCCGTGGATGCTACCCATGGTCCCTTACCCCCAGCACACCACTCACCATGATAAGTATCATGCTATTAGAGTCCTCAAACAACCCACAAAGAGCCTACCACAAAGGGGCATGTGTAGGCTTGATTGGCATAAAACCTTCCCAGATGTCTCCGGCACTACTCGGGACTACTCTAGAGACTCTTCTGGATAGCTCACGCTAACTCCTTTAGCTTTGGTCCATTTTACTCGATTCTTTTTAGGGAAAGTACTTGACCTTCTCACCTTGGCCCCCTTATATATCCTGCAAACAGGTTCCGGTCAGACTGACAGCAGAGATATACATACTGTGCAGGACATGTCTTCCTTGATTCTATTTAACTAGTAAGACGGCAACTCCACCCGTTTTGTCCCATGATGTCCGGGGCTAACCCTCGGGCTGCAGGTACCTCTTACGAATAATTCTAGTAAATTACAGCATGTTCGGAGCACTATAGCTCCTCCTGTAGTCTTCCACTGAGTGTGCAAGCAAGTACCCATCGATCGTCATTGTATAACAAACAATCCTGACATTTCTCAGAATTCCTCAGAGTACATTTCCGACCGAAGGTACGGAAATAGTGTCCCAAAGGTAGGGTAAGTATGTCCAAGGTGACACGAAACTAGTCTCCATGCTAGGGTAACGTAATGTCCTCAAACGGGATAAACACAGTTACGTTACTTCCACTACTTAGTTACACCTATTCCTTATACACCTTCGGTTCTTTGGTATACCCAGACCATCGCATATCCCAGGCATACTCCGGTATGCCTACCACGTCGACCATGGAACCTCTTGGCCTTATGTATGGGTGTAGACTTTAGTCGCCATTGCTCTATAATGTCGGGTCGTTATAGTTTTAGCTAGGGGATGTCCAGGGTGAGGAGGTAGCTGCCTAACTTTGTGATGAAGGTGGGAATGGATTCTAGGTGGTCCTTGATCTTGATGTCTACTTGGGTCACGTGGGTGATGGCACCTGAGCTGATAGGTTTTCCATCGATAACAGCAAGGTCAATCTCTTCTTTAAGTTTATACAAGAGGAGGTAGTTGTAGCGTGCGAAGTCTATGTCCAGCAAAGCATATCCAGTGGCTCTAGAGTCAATGAGGGCATGGGTTCGGATTATCTTTTGGTTGTCTATGATGTCACAGGTGATTAGCAGAGGGTTATTCTCAATTCTATTTTCTATTTGATCCAAATAGAGACTAGATATAGAAAGACAAGGTAAAGACTTAACATGTCCCATGTCAGTGCCATGTCCTCCACATGAGACTACTAGTTTTCTGACTCTTCATCCTCTGGCCGGATGTGCTCAGCTACCACGGGCGGGAGAGGAAGAGGCAGCATGCTGGCTCGATAGGCATCGCAGGTTCTCTTGTTAGGATAGTCCCTAGCCATGGGTCCACTTACCCCACAGTGCAGGCATAACCCTCATTGCATCCGGTCTCTTCTGTGAGCTGCGGTCTGGGAATGTCAACCACAAGAGAGGTCCATCGGCCTGGGCAACATGCCAGTAGCTATGGTGTTAGCAGGGGCTGGAGTTGTTCAGCGAGAGGGGGCTGGGTTGGAGGTGCACCAAGAGGTAGAGGTAGAGCCCTTCTTTTCAGCAGCGCAGGTACGGATATTGCTGTCCAACTGCTTGAGCAGCTTGGCATATTCAATGAGGGCCTCAGGAAGGTTGGGGATGGAGGTAAGAACATCCATCAGCTCAGAGCTGAGGCCAGGGTAGAGGGCCCTACACTTTGTAGCATCATTCCAGTTGGTGTCGGAAGTGAGGTGTTGGAAGTCTGTGAGGTATGTCACAAAGGGGCCAGTCTTCTGGGCTCGGGATTGTAGGTGTCTCTCAGCTGTCTAGACATGGTTGGGGTCACTGAAGGCCTGGTGCAACTTATCGAAGAGAGGGTTAATGCTTGTGTAGTTTATCCCGTCCTCTCTGACCTGTGGTTCCTCCTGTAGGAAGGCACAGCCAGTGAGAAGCCCAATGATATAGTGTAATGGGGAGGCGTCTGGTAGTTCCAGTAGACCAAGGTACGCCACTGTTAAGAGGCATTCGGATTTGGGGAGACTGGGTATGGGTATACAAACACATAAGGTTCGTGCAGGGCAAGGTGGTTTGAGTGTTTGGGTTCAGGGGTTCAGGTCTCATGTCACTGAGAGAAAGAAAGAGGTGTATTTCCTAGGTACAGGTGTCCAAAGGTAAATACGTATTGCATAAAGAAAGTAAACTCATAAGGAGGACATCCCATTATATAGACAAAGGAAATCCAACAATTAGTAATCCTCGGCTCGTCGCCCGTAGCTGTGATATATCCCTATTTCTTCCATCAGCTTCCATTACACGAACCTACCACCAGACACTATGACACACCCAACCCATCTGACACAAGAAAACCCCCAGTGGCAATGGCCCTCCCTTGGTCCTAAGTTACCATGACAACCCCAATTTGTTACTTCTGTCATTGAATTGCTACTTTCGAATACCAGCTGCATTTACGATCTCAATCTGACTCGCAATTATTAGCTGTTCTGCCAATGGAGGGCACTCGGTTGGTCCAGGATTTGAAACTGCCTGTTCGTCGAGGGAAAGCTGGAAGCTTGTTTGGCATCTGGAGGTCTTTGGAGGTATACACGGTATGCGCTCTGAGTTTTCGTTTCTTGCAGAAAATAAGAACGCGGGTACCCAGAGCTTGTCCTCCCCGATTTCGTAGCGGTGGTGGTCCGATATTGTTAAAATTCCGAATGTGGCTGCATCCATCCGATTCTGGGAAGGGGATTTAATTGAATTCAGACCGTGTAACGGTTGTTTCCCACTCTCATTGCTACCACGGGGAATGCGGGTAATAAATTTAGTGTCGAAGTGGTGACATCCACCACTCCCGGTCACTCACAAGCTCGCAGCAGGAGGCACTCCTTTGGAGTGCCCACTATCTCAACCAAAGATAAAAGCTCAAGGATAAATTATTGTATATGATGAGTAATGTATGCGAAAAGGTACTAATTTCATGAATTAGAAACTTCTAAAACCCATTATTCTTAATCCCATACTTTTTTACCATATTCTGTTCTTTTTATACTTTGTTCTACTATTTTTTTTGGCCTCCTTTCACCTACCTTTAGGTGGTCTATTGGACATGCCCCCTCGCTCCCTCCTCTCGAATACTTCTCTCTTCTTGTTTACAACGTTAGTATCCTATATATTAGACAAAATTACTATTGAGAATTTAACTACTTCTACTTCAGACCTAGCTAGGGTGGAATAGAAATAATAGATAACCTATCATGAAATTGATTTCTGGTGACCTCTAACAGTGATATCTAGAGTTGAGCTAGGTGTCTGTATACTATATGCAAAACAGATTCTTTCCATGCCTTTTAAATCACGAAAGCAGCCAAACTTGCCTACTCTACAAGGAAATGGTACAATATACTATAATGTTGATAGGTCCATATTATGGATCCTCAGAACTCTAGCGCTCTAGTTCTATGAACCGAATCAGAGAACCCCAAAAACTAAGTAAAGTAGGCAGAACACATCCTAAAGAGCCCCTAGAAAAAGCCAAAAAGAGGATGTCAGGAGACTATGAAACAAAATATAAAAACACCTGGGAATGGTGGGAAAGGATGAGAATAAAACTCTTGAGCTTTAGAAGCCTTTAATTTATGAGGTTGGTGCTTTATTACATGTATTTCTCCTTGTAATATTTTACCGTTGCGCTGTCATTGTACTGTACGTTGCGATGGCGGGCACTCCAAAGAAGTGCCTTGGGTTGCGAACTCGTGAGCGACCGGGGATGGTGGATGTCCCACCTTGACATGATTAGCCGAAAATCCAGAATGCCCGAAATACAATAAATCGATATACGAGTATACATATCTATAAATGTATCGTGTCTTCCGGCGTCTTGAGATGCGCGAGTCGAGGGAGTGGCGCCGCAGATCATCCTCGTGGCAGCGATTTTTCCTTGTCTTGGCCGGAGTGTTGTGGTAATAACGGCACCAAACTTGAGGGCAATTCCGAGCCGAGACAACAAATAGCCAGGCTATGAGGCTTAGTTTTGCCTCTACAAGTGCTGCACACTCTCGTTTTTATACCATCACCTTCCTATGCTTCCACTTCCGCAACCTGAGAACCCCCCGACGCCAGAACTGACCGTGCCCCATGGCAGGGGGGTATAGCTTGCACTATCGCTCGGATATTCACAGATATTTTACCACCTACACTACCAGTGCTTCTTAAATCCCTGTTCCCGGGTACTGGTAGCCGCGGACCGCTTAAGGACGTTCCATCACTTTTCCAAGTACCGGTATCCTCTCACACACCCTGCCTCCGATAAATCCCTCAGCTATAATTAACTTACCGAGATACGCACGCGTTGTATGGGTTGCCTTGGTCTCAATGGCGCACGGGCGCCACCCCCAGCTCTAAATCCAGAACATATAAGAGCCTTTCTGCCCCCGCTACCGGAGGGGACCCGTATTGAGCTCCAAAGACTGCGGCAAAAACGAAGATAATCGTCCAACACGCAAGCGGGTCCCGCACTTCTCCCTTAACACGGAATTCCGGAAAGATCCACACCATGTTCCCTCCTGGACGCGGCAACGACGGGCTGATCGTAGGCCAACAATTTGTCATTAGCCTTTTCGGTACGAGCAAGGTATTCACAGTAGAAGGGGAAGATGTCCATCTCCGGGACTATGAGGAGGGCAATGAGAGGCAAATTTGGATCTGCGAAATGAACTCGAACAATCGGTTTGGCATGCGGTGCGCAGAGACCGGACGCTATTTGGGCCGGAGGAGTTTGTGGGATCTGTTTGGATGTTCCGTGGCTCATCATCTCGGCTGGGAGTGGCTAACTTTCACGCGGCTTAGCCACGGCGGGTACTCCATAATGGTGAGCAGCCCGGTCGTTAGCGATAAGCTCTCCCCGGTTCAATGTATCGACAGCAATAGTCCGGATTTGAAGATTGGGGAAGCAATGACCCAGTTCGGCGTACACCAGCTCAAAGACCCAGTGTTCAGACGGTTCGAGTGGGTGCTTCCGGATCGTCTTGCACGCTCATCTGCACCTTACTACGATGGCGAGGATTCCGATCAGAGTATCAACGAAACCTCGATTGAATTCCTGGCCAAATACGGTATACAGAACATCATCAGTTTAAACTCCGTAGAGCTCACACCGCGGGAACGGGGTAGGCTTCGTGCTGCCAAGATCTCGTACTCGCACATCAGGGCTCTAAACTGTACCGCGCTCACCCAGGAGCAGTTTGATCAGATATGGAATGCCTATGAAAAAACGGGGGCTACAATCGTCTATTGTGGGTACGGGGATGGGAGGACCGGGATGGCTATTAGTGCAATTCAGCTCTTCCAGGGTCGTATTCTAAGCGACCTGGATTATAGGGCGAACGGTGTGCAGTGTGACAACCAGCTGGCGGCATTGGATGAACTGAGCGAGAGGATCCATGGGTAAGTGTCTCTTCTAAAAAGTGATATTTCCAGGGCTAACTTCTACTTCAAGAAGTGCCGAAAAATACAGTGATGCCCCTGGTACCCAACCCCCACCGTATACAGCACCCGCAAAAAAGAACTGATGGAATGCACGGCGATGGGTTTATGGGGGGCCGCGGGGTGAGGGGAACTGCGTGCGGATGGTATACGGCGATACCCCATGCAGTAATACGATGAAGTAGGAACCGCTCGGCCAATGCTAGGTGCACACCGGAAAAGCGATCGGAAGGAGATAGCGCCGGGTGCATGAATTTGGTGGAGGTGGGGAGACTTGGTGGCTGTTGGGAGAGGAAGCGGGAGGAGCGCGGAGGAGAGATATTTTGGTCCATAACAGCTACTGATCCTGAATCCAGGGATTTGAGATGGACGTAGAGTACGCTGCACTAATTACAAATCAACTACTTCTTCATCTGTGCAATGTTTCTAAACGAAACTTAGTAGGACCAAAGCCCGTGATACCTCCACAGCCCCGCGGATACGACTGGGATGGTTAGCCCAGACAGCGTGCGCGGATCCTCAATTCCCCCCCTCGACAAGGATAGCTTCCACACGGGTCTTCCCATGCGAGAGCTTTAACCTTGTCACTCGTGGCTTATGGCTGTGCTATCGATACGCGAAAGCGATATACTTTCTGTCCACTGCTACAGTATTTTGCTCTCCCCCAAATACCTCCAGGTTTGATATTGCCAAAGTCCGCTCTTTTTTTTCTTTTTTTCTCCAGGCGCCCTGGAAATATTTAAGCTCGCTCGTACTAAGAAATTGTGAGTTGTGACGAGCGACATCCTGGTTTAGGCCCACCATCCAAGGCGGCAGACTCCTTGACCAAATCGGGTACCGGCGAACGGATAGCTGTAACCGTGCCAATGTTCCCGCCTGATTCGAAGGACGCTGTGCCACCTTCAAAGCATGTAGCACTCCCAGGGAGTGCCCCACAGCTCAGCGATACAGTAGAGCTGTTGTACTCAATACTCAATCCGCCGGCCTGAGTATATAACGAGAAACAAATTTAACAAGTCACCAATTTTGGGAATTTAATACTTCCAAAACTAATGATTCTTGTACTTGTCCACTGCCCTGATTTTCTAGTAAATTCTTTTTTTTTTACTGCCTTCCGACCCTTCTCTCACACTTTCTATTACCAATTTAGGTTTTCTGGCCCCTTTCAACTGCCTCAAAGGGCTCTAGAGCACATTCTCTAAAACTATAGATACAATTTTTTCTGAACACTATATTACTTCTAAAATTTCGATTAATTGTGTTGTTTTGATTTTTGGTTTAGATCGGTTATGCCGTAAGAGTGTTTCGAGATTTCCTGTCATTGTTTATTCTACCTATACTAGTAGTTTATATGCCAGTGTATTCTAGTCTCCAGTACAGTAGTCAGAGGGTACCAAAAGCCACTCGCGCAATGGAATAGCCATGTCTCTCATCTTGTTCCAGCTAATCCTAATATATTTGAAACTTGATTTAAATCTTAGAACTCCACCTAACCCATTGAGAAACTTCTTATAACTCGGCATATTGCTGAAAGGTAGCTAATTTACCCGGATTTCAGGAGTTCTTAGTTTGTTATCAAGCTATTTCTTCTACAGTTTAGCCCATACCAATTTTTACACATTTTCCAACCCCCATCATTATAGAAATCATGTTTCATCACCTTGATGGCTCTCTGGTTAGAATCCCAAGTTTACGGAGACGTACCATTCGATATGGTAAGTAAAACATATGGTAACGTATAGTAGACTTAACAGGGGCAGTAAGCTACCCGTCGTGAAACAAGCTTGGGCGTTGCACTTGAAAACATCCGCGGACCCAAACAGATAGTATGGAAAACAGGATAACCTGGTGTCAGTGGGAAATGCCGTTTCCCAGTTTTTTATCTTCCGAGTGCACTTTTCTGTAACATACCATGCGGTGTTGAAAGTTCGAGGTAACGTAACGTACAGTATTATTCGAACACTTGGTGGCTTCAGATATCTACACCCAGCCGGACTAACCACTTGCGAACACCACACGCTCATCACGCATAGATTCTCAACTGGATTCTCGTGATACCGCTGGGCCTCCTTCTAATCCTCACTATGCTTCTCTCGCTAAGACCGGTTGGTTCTCCGGAACTAAAGAAGAATACTCACCCATAGTGACCTAGGGTATTATTGGGGACGGGGGAGGGAACTGAAAATGGCTAAGAGTTTTCGGGACGGTCTAGCTGGTGAACACTCAGAGCAGAGAGGAGGAAGATCATTAACCGACATCCGGGCTCGTCCTAAAATTCGGCAGCATGTAATGGCAGTTTGTTATCTGCCACATTTTAACAAAGGGAATTGTGGCATTTTCCTAGGCAGTTGGGGGGCTCTTCACTTCCAAAAGGAGAAGTGGTGATTGCTTGAGCAAACTTTTTAGATGAGGGCTTGGTTTACTTCATGCAGAATACTTTTAAGTTACACTCGGGTGCATGGGCATGGCCTTCGTAATGCTTTAACAGGATGAATATCACAAAATTAGGGACAGTTTCCCCATCTTGCGATCCTAGTGAGCACGCTCAGTATTCGGTTAATTTGGTGGTCTTTCCAGACACCGCTACTACCCCCTCCTTTGCCAGCAATGGCCCGGGCATCGGTAGGAGTGACAGTCGTTTGTGAATTGATATGGCTACGGACGAGAAAAGAAGCTTGATTTCCTTACCACCTGTGCAGCTGTGGGCTTTTATGCTAACTGAACTATCAAGTGAAAGAAAAGAAATACCAAAAACCCGAGGTCGGTAATATGAGGACCTCGGAGGAAAGAATTTGACGAAACTTTGGAGAGGAAGAAAAACATGAGAACCCCGGAATACCATAGTTGAATATTGCATGGTTGTGCGGTTGTGAAACGAATGGAGAAGAGATAAAGAAAAACTCAAACAGTAACTAATGTTGAAGAGAGTGGTGAGGAAAGTACTAGGAGAAACTAAGTAAAAGGAAACTAGTCTGTCTGCCGGATAAGCACTAAATCCAACATCGTTTGTGAGTGATAATTGATGACCAGACCCGGTAATAGTAACTGTGCTAGGTTCCTTGTCACTTCGAAAAACGCTAAGCAACCTTCCGAGAAATTGACAGCACTACCATGGAGTGGCTAACAGGTCAACGATAATAACGGCTGAGCAAAAAATTTACCACAAGGGATGGGAAACATATCCAACGGAACACAAGTTTCTTGAATTAAAAGCTCTAAGAGCTCATTATCTCTATTCCCATCTTCCCCCACCATACCTTATTGTTTTTATATTCCGCCTCTGTTTGTTCCTGACCCTTTCCTTTTCAAATATATGCAGGATGTTTGGCTGTTTGCGATCTATTCCACCAGCCCCATATATCTCCACAGCACCCTCCATAGAACTATGGATCAAATTTTTTAGGGGTCTATATTGTGCTCCTGCTAAATTAATTATATTCTGCATCTCCACCCTACATAGTAGTTATGTTTGGCTGCTCTCCCGTTATCAGAGTCCTCGGGAATAATCATCCACTAACTTTCTATGGCAAGCCCGACCTCAAATATCATTGTTCCACGTCACTGGAAAACCATTTAGTGCTAGAATTTCCCAGTTTACGTATACTACGGCAGCCTATTTTGAAGCCAAAATAACCCCCTCCTGAATTTTGCTTTCCTATATGGATACGGGTCTGGTAACATTGCATCCGGGGGTGTAGAGACATGCAGAAACCTAGCCTGCAAGCGCCTAATAACCATAGACCACATGGAGAAAACAGAAATATTGAAAGCTATTGAACAAAACAGGAAAACACTAGAGTATAGTAAGAAAGGGCGAGAAAAAGTATCACAAGTTCTGGGAGCTTTTAGCGCATGAGATTGGTGTTTTGTTATGTGCAGTTCCCATTGCATATAGTAAATATTTCGTTGAGTTATTATTATCGTTAGGTGTTAGGCACTCCATGGGGGTGCTGTCAATCTTCGAAAGTCGCTTAGCGTCTTCCAAAGTGACATGAACCTTGGCGCTGTTAAATGTTATACACTCACCTGTATATCCCGTTGCTAGTCGAAACTAGGCCTCACGCTCTAGCAGCCTCTTGTCTTCTAAGAATATGTTTTGCCCGCCCGCGGCTGTATATCACCCACTGTGAACACAATTTAGTAGATTCCAGAGGAGGTGCGGAATGACAGATCGAATAGATCTAAGAAGGAAATGTATATGCTTCTCCTAGCGGTTGGTTTTCGGTTTGATAGAGTTACTAGTCCACTCTTATAACACGGAAAGCGTTTCCGAGACGGTACCACACTCCTTGGTATTGTGTCGGCGATCCTTCATCAACGGCCTATTGGCCAAAGTACCGGATTTTCGGTAGTCTCATTCCCAGGCGAATGGGTGAAAAGATGGTGGGCAAACATCGCAATGAGGAGCGTTATTCAGAATAGTAATCACGGCCGAAAATACTTTAGACCTAGGACACTGGATAGATAGCTTCAACTATTCCAGAGAATTACCTCCATATATCCTAGAAATTTCTCGTCAAATGAATCTCATGTGGACCTGCCGGGACCGAAACTTCTCCAGGCGTGTGACCCCTTCACTCCATTTTTTGATATAGCAAAGAAAGACGACTTTCTAGCTGAGATTCTAGTTCAGATAACCTGTGAAGCAGAAGTTATATCTTTCACAAGAGACCGGGAGAACAAATGGAGCCAATTTATGAAATTATTCCCTCCCATCCCCATTGCCAAACCCCAAGTTTACATCGGCATGGGAAAATTCCTCATCTGGACGTGTAGCTAGGCCTTTACGTTATGATATCGTTGTTTTATGTGCCCGTGCCTTCTCTTAACATTGTGACATCTCTGCTCAGCGTGGAAACCAGTGGGCTTAAAATATAATTAGGGGTTTCGCTGATTCCCAAAGCACTCGTCCGTATCTCTGCGAGTTCCGAGGGGGGTTAGGGCCAGTCACTATGGTTTATCTCACCAAGAAAATTCGGGACCTCCCTACCTTATTCAGCTGGCGGCGCGTTGGCCTCCCATAAAAGTGCTCTAGCGCTCCAGACACTATCGCTTAATGGTTAGACTATGCGAGCTCTGGCCTACGGTAGGCATGCTCGTATTGCGCCCGCAGCAAGCTAAATTTAAGCGAGTTATGGCAGCTGCATAAGAGTCCTTCCTGAGTATTTTCCCGCATGCCTTGCCTTTGCAGTAAATCCCTCAACCAATACCGATCGCGTAATTAACTTACCGAAATATGGGTCCGTGGTTTCCTTAGGCCCCAGCTAGTTCGCAAGGTACGGAAATATATAAGAGCCTTGATTCTTTCGCTACCCGGGGCAACCTATATTGAGTCTCCAAAGCCCACCGCCAAGAACAGGATTACCCTCCTATAGACAAAGCAACACCACGCCCTTCTTAACACCGAACCCCAACACCTCCGCATCATGTTCCCCCCCGGTCATGGCAAAGACACCTTAAACGCAGGATACAAATATGTCATCAGCCTGTTCGGTACGAGCGGAGTGCTCACAGCGGAAGGAGGACAGGTCTGTCTTAGGGAATACGAAGAGGAAAACGCAAGCCAAGTGTGGTCCTGCGAAATGAACTCAAATAATCGATTTGGTATGCGGAATGGGGCAAGTGGGCGCCTGCTGGGTCGGAACGGACATGATGAGCTCGTATGTATCACGACCGAGCTCTTGTCCTATGAGTGGCTTACTTTCAGGAAACTGAGTGCGGGTGGGTTTCTACTAATGGTGGAGAGTACTGGCACCATCGGAAAACTCTACCCAATTCAGCGCACCGATAGCAACAGCCCCTATCTAAATATTGGTGAAGCAAGCAACCAGTTCGGCCTGCACAAGCTCACGGGCTCGGTGTTCAGAAGGTTTGAATGGGTGGTCCCTAATCGTCTCGCGCGCTCGTCTGCGCCTTACTACGAGGGCGATGATTCTGATCAAGGCATTAATGAAACCTCAATTGAGTTTCTAGTCAGCCGTGGTATAAAAAACATTATTAGTTTGAATTCCATTGAGCTATCGCCCCGAGAGAGGGACAGGCTTTGCGCTGCCGATATCTCTTATTCACACGTCAGGTCCCTGGAGTTCACCGCACCCAGACAGAAGCAATTTGACCAGATCTGGAAAGCCTATGAGAAAGCGGGGGCTACAATCGTCTACTGTGGATATGGGGATGGGAGGACTGGGATGGCTATCAGTGCAATTCAGCTTTTCGAGGGTCGTACTCTGGGCGACCTTGATTACAGGGCGAACGGTGTCCAATGTCCAAGCCAATTAGCCGCGCTAAATGACCTAAGCGAAAGAATCCATGGGTGAGCATCTCTTCCCGACATTTCCTCCCATTGCCTGGGCTGACTGGGACTTCCAATAATGCTGAAAGCCAGAGTGACGGTCTCCTAAATATGCAACCCCCGTCATATACAGCATGGCATCCGAGAAAAGGAGGTGATAGAATGCGGGGGGATGAGATCGTGGAAGAAAGATAGGGTGAGGGAAACCGTGGATGAGTGATTGACCTCAAAGGTCTAATGTGGCAATAAGATGAAGCAGGAATTGTGCGAGCATTGTTCAATACTCTTCGGGGAAGGTATCGCAAGGCGAGAGCACCAGGTGGATCGATTTAGCGGAAAAAGGTAAAACCTGACGATATAACAGTCGAGAGAGCAAGAGGGAGGGCACGGGGGTGGCCCAGAGAGAGGTTTCTTTGGTTATAAAAGGTTTATTTAAGACCGAGATTTCTAGAGTTTAAGATGGGCTCTGAGCGCGCTTCACCACCGATTAACTGCCCCGCGCGTGCCGTGCGTGTTGCAGCGTGGGGATCCAGATCTTTTTGAAAAAAACTTCGTAGAACTAGAGCCCCGGACACCCCCACACCCACCACAGATATCATAAGCAGTACCGGTACCCTATTTGGCTGCTACGGACTTTTATTTGTGCGGACCGCACGGTTGACACCTTACGAGTAAATTCTCGTGGGCTTTCTTCTCGCTTACCGCCTCACGAAATGCTCAGCCCACTCATAATAGAAAATTGTGAGCTGTGATATAGTACGGTACCCCGGTTCAGGCCGACAATCGGATTGAGTTAGACACGGGGATTAAATGTGGTCTGTGGACCGGTGTTGTGAGTGAGGGGGTGGTCACGCCCAAAATCCAACTTGACCCGTCACCCATGTTGGAAGGTGACGGGGTGCTATGGGAGAGAAGAGTTAGGGTTAAAATCCCTAACCTGTACTTGTAACATAAATAACTGGAACTTACAGTGGGGTGCCAAGCCCTTGGTGACCCCCATCACACCCTGTCACTCCTTATTCCTGACAACCCATCTGTTGTAAAGACTGGTGTTGTCAGAGGCTTCCTGATAACCTCATGCCAGGTATGGAGTATGGTTCGGAATGGAATGGATGGAATGTGGACTGGTATGGACAAGGACCGGTATGGATATGAAGGAATGAGGGCTGGTATGGATATGGAGGAACGGAGATGAGTATGGACTGGAAAGAATGTAGCCACCGGATAGTGAAGGATATCTGGTCAGTTGGGTTTCCTATAGTATATAGTGATCATCCACTAGGATGATAGGAAGGACAAGTCGAAGAAAACCGAAGACTCTTTTTCCCTTACTCTGATATTCAAAAACCATCTTTCAAAGTTCTTGACTATATTCTACTCTCGACTACACCATCAGGTTCACGGCTAGGCAGTTGGCGCTGGCGGGTCCTCACAACATTGATGTTGGCGGAGGACTGGTGCTATTATTTAGATGGCAGGCGAAATTCAGCTTGGAGAGATTAGAGGGCTTCCCGTAGGAACACAGAGATATCTCGGTCCTGGAACAGAAATCTAGACCCTAGGCTGCTCCCACAGAGGAACCAATTTCTGAATTTCTACAGTAGATTATAATCATTGTGATAAAATAAAATCACAGATTTGTTACCCGAGCGATCGCAATGGGAAATACACTTTCCGGTGATACCGTACCCCAAAGTGCCCCCCCGGGTCCCCTTTGGCACCTTTCGCTCCGAAAAAAATGGCGCAATGTGTCGATAAATATAGCTTCTAGGCTAGTTGACTGCTGTCCATGGGTTTTCGTGATTCTGACCCTTTCCTATCTAGCTGGGGGAGGGGGATAGTTCAGGTTTAGAAAACCCGGAACCTGGAAGACGATTTTCTGGAATTTATTATAAAAGTAGGCTAAATCTGCTCACGGATCCCTCCCGAATTCCTACTAGAAATCCTCTAATGCGGGAACTTAGGAAGAGCTGAGCCCCAGAAAAGAAATTTAGATGAAGGCCCACCCCCGTAGAAGAAAGGTCTCTCTAGGCCGCTGGATTGCGGCCTATGCAGAGGAGTTGAGGTACACTTACAGAGCAATAGATACAATCATGGAATGATTCTCACGGAATCGTACCCCATTATAGTTTGACAGTTCTCGGTTTTGTGGATTGAGAAACAATGCTTAATTTGTGGGGAATTGTGGCCTCGCGGCCGGTCGGCCAATGAGTCCTGGGATTCCAAACTCCCGAACCGTTCAAATATGAGCTAGGGAGGGGGGAGGGAGCGGTTCAGATCTTAGAGAATTTAGAGACAAGAAGTGAATATCCTAAGTTCAGCGGGAAAATATGCCGAGACCGGTTCTATATATCCCTTCTGGATTCTTGCTGCAAGTGTCCTAATGACAAAGGTTCTGAACTAAAGAGTCTGTGCAGTAACAGCTTCACACCTCCAGCTGCGGCGCTCCAGCTAAGGGGGCAGAGTTGTGCCAAGGAGCAGGCTATTTTGGCACTCATTGCGCGAACTGAACTACCGGCGTATCGGTATGAGCAAAGTCGCCTTTCACTATGCAGGGTAAATTCTCACTTCCGGCATAAGGACACTTGCTGGTCTGGTAGAACCGCAACTTTTTTAGCAGGGGAATTAAATTTCCACTGGTCTAATATGAAAAACTTAACATCGGGAAAGGATAGAGTTCTCTCCCGCTAAAGCCGGTTAACGAAATCCTAGTGGGGATCCGGCCCCACCATAACTAGAGAACACCCTCAACTCAACCCCCGCATAGCCAGGCCTTATTTCCACTGATGGAGTTTCGTGTCGCTAAGAACATCTCTTACCCTAGCTCTATTTGTTATGAAGGACTACTTTAGAAGGGCAGGGGCGGAGAAATCCCGGCGGTGCTCTTTCCGTTGGTTTTTCGATAGAACAGAATCTGTTCAACTATAGGAAGCTTGGTCGGTGATATGGTTAGGCATTTACAAGAATATAGGAACGCACACGGGATCGGAACGCATGATTCTAGAACTCAGAGTGCCCGGGGGATTAGCGTGTTGCGGGGGTTCAGCAGCGACTGCCAATAGTCTACGGTATCCGATGCTAGCGAGACTGAGCCCTCCTAATTGAATCCGCTAGCAGAGACCTCGCTCATCTCGACGCACTCACCAGCGATCCGCGGTTGTCAATTGGAAGGATCCTGAAGGACAACTACAGTACCGGTATTAGAGAGTTTGCGCCCGCAGACCTAGGTGGTGGTTGTGAATTTCATTAATATATGTTATGCTAAAAGGCTTGGAGACCCGGGTGCCCAAATGCACCTGGCCGAGGCCCAAAAGTCAACTTTAAAGACCTAGAGTAAGTTTCTAGGTAATAGCATCAAAAATATTCAACACCATATTTCTCTGGATACCAAGGAGAGCTGAGTGCAAAGCAGCTCTGAAATAAGCGATATGAAAAATACAATAGTCATGTAATAATATTGATTCTACGTTCTCTGTTCTGGCCATCAACACCTCACATTGCACTCAACTGTTGTGACCCGGCTGCAAAGTCACCTGGATCCTATGCGCAAACTTCCCCCAGCATCTAGGTCCTTTTTGTGGTAACTGCCACCTAGGTCTGCGGGCGCAAACTGAATTGAACAGTATCAAGAAGTCTCCTATGCCAAAACCCCTCTCATTAGTCTCTGCAAACCGGCAGCAGAGTACAAGTACAAGTATAATAATTATTAGAGGGATCCAGCAGTGAAATAAACCCCCAGCCCAAGACCTAACCTAGCCCAGATTGTCATGGTATCCAAGGATTGCTTGCAGAAAGACTAGTTAAATGCTATATTCATTGTGGTTTAGATTTTGCCTTGGCCGTTGTTTGCACTTACTCGAGTAGCATTTCTCGGAAGGATAATAGAGGGATCCAGCAGTGAAAATCATCCCTGCAGAAAATGCGGTAACCACAGCAACAGTGATAAATCAGGAAAGGTGAAATACCAAGCACCTCCACTTGGCACAATAAGTAGGGATCATTAACACCCCTACCCTCTACCACTGGATGGTAGGGGTAAGCGTTATCCTTGCAAGAAATGCTAAGTGTAAACAATGGCCAAGGCAAAATCTAAACTGCAATGAGTATGGCAACTACTCTTTCTGCAAGCAATCCTTGGATTCCATGACAAATTGGGCTAGGTTATGTTTTGGGTTGTCATCCAATTGTCTCCCGAGTATCCTGGCATCCTGTTGCAGTGCTGGATCTCCAGAACCCCTCGAGAATTCAATCAAGTCGGCCCTCGGATGCTTGGCATTTTTGGTAGGGGGTTTATTTCACTGCTGGATCCCTCTAATTCTTACCCCTGCCACCCAGAGGCGGGTGGTAAGGGTGCGAATGATCCCTGCTGATTATGCCAAGTGGGAATGCTTGGTGTTTCGCTTTTCCTGATTTATCACTGTTGCTATGATTACCGCACTTCTGCAGGGATAATTTTCACTGTTGGATGCCTCTTGTGTGTACCCTGGTAGACCGTGTACTCGAGTAAGTCCTCAGCGAGGTTTGGCGATATTTGGCAGCAGAGGCTGCTTGCGGTCAATGATAATAGAAAGCCAAGCCGTACCGCCCCTCGCTGGGGTGTCGGTCTACCGGTATCGGAGTTCTCACGTTAAAGGAATTATTCACTGCGGGTATCCGACCCTACCCCGAAAGTTTTTCCACACGCCCTGCCCTCGGCTAACTCCCCCAGAGATATTAAAACTTAACTTACCGGTAGGTTAGCTACTGACGCACCCACCGTCCAGGTTGACTCACATCCCGATCAGAAGGGTAGTCCCCACACGTGAACCTAGAATACATAAGTAGCGTACTGTCCCCACTACCGGCCGGGAAGCTATATCCTGTCTCAAGGACCCGCAGACAATCCTCCGAGATACGAAATAACCCCAGGCTTCTCTCCTAACAACTAACCCTAATACCTCGCCGTCATGTTTCCTCCCGGTCGCGGTAACGACGGTCTATACGTGGATCGCAGATTTGTGATCAGCCTGTTCGGCACGAGCCTTGTACTCACAGCGGAGGGAAAAGATGTCTTGCTGAGGGAGTATGAAGAGGGAAGTGAGAACCAAATCTGGGTCTGCAAAATGAACCGTTACAATCGATTTGGGATGCGGAATGTAGCGACCGCGCGTCTGCTGGGCCGGAGCGGTCAAAATAGTCGAATTGGGTGCTACGTGACGGAGCATCTCGATTGGGCAAGCCTTACTTTCACGAGGCTGGACGAGGGCGGCTATTCGCTAATGGTTATGAGTGTCGACCAACAATATCAATTCCCAATTCAGTTTATCGATGGAGGTAGTCCCTGTTTAAGGATCGGGGGGGGGAGAGCTCAGTTTGGGCTGCATCAGCTCAAGAACTCCGTCTTCAGGCGGTTTGAGTGGGTAATCCCGAATCGTCTCGCACGCTCTTCTGCACCATACTATGATGGCGAGGATTCCGATGAGAGTATTAACGAAACCTCAATCGAGTTCCTGGCCAAGCATGGTATACAGAACATCATCAGCTTGAACTCCGTTGAGCTATCGCCACGGGAGAGGGGCAGGCTACGTGCCGCCAAGATCTCGTATTCGTACATGCAGACTCAGCAGTGTTCCGCTCCTACCCAGGAGCAATTTGATCAGATCTGGAATGCATTTGAAAAAGGGGGGGTTACCATCGTCTACTGCGGATTTGGAGATGGGAGGACCGGAACGGCTATCAGTGCAATTCAAATCTTCCAGGGTCGTATCCTGAGCGAAATGGATTACAGGGCGAACGGTGTGCAATGCACCAGCCAGATAGAGGCATTAAATGCATTAAGGGAAAGAATTGATGGGTGAGTCTCTCTTCGGAGACAGTGTCTGCCTTTTCAAACGCTGATAGCGAAATAGTGTCGATAACGATAGCGATTCTCCCGACCCCCAGGATAATCAACCCCCACCATATACAGCGCTTAAAAAAGACAAGTAATAGGATACACGACGATGGGATTATGTGAGGATGGTAGGATAAGGAGGAATGCGTATTAGCGATCAGCGGTAGTGCCTTGGTACGGTAGTGTAATTAGGAAATTGTGCGATGGTTGGGCGGCTCGCACCGGCGATGCGCTACAGGTACATGTAAGGGATTGACGGAAAAGCGCAGAATCCGTTGCTGTTAGGGAGAACAAGTGGGCTGAGCGCGAGGGGGCTAAGAAAAGACATTTCTGTTTCTATCAGTTTTCGATTTGGGAAGGAGTTCGCTGCTCGTCACTTATGACCTTTGGTTTCATAATGAGGGTGGTGGGTGGCACTCCGTTGCTCCTGATTTTGTTCGGCCACCCTTGGCTTTATTATTGGCCAATTCCCTAGCTCTACCTACATTAACCTGGGCCTGTCATCTGTTACCGCTAAAATTAGCTATCGGTTTCCCTTGGTCGCTCTGAAACAGTGAAATGGGTAGCCCGGCATAGCAAGCCAGTCCTGGAACCATTTCTGCTTTTGTCATCTTCAGGAAAAGGTTTGCACTCAACAAAAGTGCCTAGTCACCGGAGTCCCGAAAGGACTGGGGATCCAATCTTCTAGTTATGTTTAGCTAACCCCTGCTACACCCGGCATGGTTCCTGCTACGAATTTGAGTGCCATACCACGTCCAGGGGTAATTAAGCAAGCTTCTTGCACCAAATCCCGCTGGCTCGTTATTAGGGTCCATGGGTTTGTCATATATGGGTGGCAATGCTACCATATCATAGGTAAATCGCTGGTAAGATTGGTGGGGATAGAGAAGGTGGGGTGGGGGGGAGGGGGGTGGTAGGATAAGGACATACAAGTGAAAACGAGGTAGCATGAGCTGTTCCCTCTTGGACAGGGGTCCAGGGACGTTTGCTATCTGTGGTTGTATCATACGCTGTAGTTGTTAGAGGGCACACATCTGCTCAAGTCTCATAACGTTGGCCTTTACAACTGGGCTACCGATCAAGGCAGAATAATGCACTATTTCTCGAACCCCTTCCCTGATATTCTCCCACACCCTACCCCCGGAGTGGATACCCAATCGATGCTTAATTTACCGAGTTACGTACGCATCCTATGGATTACCTTATCCTAAGCTGCTAGTGCAATCCCAGGGTGTGAGCCTAGAGTATATATGGCCCGTTATCCTGCCCCCGCCCAGAATGAAACTATCTTGGGTCCACAGCCGTGACCAGCACAATCCTACCAGGCACAAAACGCCCCTCACACCCTCTTAATTTGTTCCTCAGCACTGCTTCCCCATGTTCCCACCTGGATGCGGCAACGACACACTAGTCGCAGGCCAAATATATTTCATTAGCCTGTTCGGCACGAACGAAATGCTCACAGCAGAAGGGGAAGAGCTTCGTCTCAAGGAATATCAGGAGGATCAATGGGAGCAAATGTGGGTCTGCGAAGTAAACCTAGAAAATCGCTATGGAATGAGGAACAGACGCACAGGATGTTTCATGGGCCGGAAGAAGCACAACCGGTTCGCCTGTTCGGTACGTGAGCACTTAGCTTGGGAGTGGTTAATCTTCACGCGGCTTGGTCTTGGTGGGTATTCAATGATGGTGTGCCCCGACGGCAGTCATAAGCTTGGGCCGCTCCAACGCATCAGCCGCAACGATAAACATTTGATGGTTGGGGAAGCCGGCACCCAGTTCGGCCTCCATCTGCTCAAGAACCCGGTATTCAGGCGGCTTGAATGGGTCGTCCCTAACCGCCTCGCGCGCTCTTCGGCGCCATACTATGATGGCGAGGATTCCGATGAGAGTATTAACGAAACCTCTATTGAGTTCCTTCACAACTATGGCATACAGAACATCATTAGCCTGAATTCCGTTGAGATATCACCACGGGAAAAAGGTAGGCTCCGCGCTGCCAAGATCTCATACTCGCACATCAAGGCGCTAGAGTGTACCGCACCCACACAAGAACAATTTGATCAGATCTGGAATGCCTATGAGAAAGCGGGGGTTACGATTGTCTACTGCGGGTATGGGGATGGGAGGACTGGGATGGCTATCAGCGCAATTCAGCTCTTCGAAGGTCGTGCTCTCAGCGACCTTAATTACAGGGCGAACGGTGTGCAGTGCCGCGGTCAGATAGAGGCATTAAATGTATTAAGCGAGAGAATTCATGGGCGAGTCTCCCTTCCAGACAGAGTCGCATTGCCTACCGGCATACTGACCTTTGCTCCAAATAGTGTCGAAAACCATAGCGACTCACCCGATACCCCCGACATCCAACCCCCACCATATGGAGAGCCTAAAAAAGAGAAGTGATAGGACGCATTGCGATGGGGTTATGCGGGGATAGTGGGATCAGAGGGAGTGCGTATGATATGTGGAGGTATCCCAATGGGGTAATTGGATGGTGTAGGAATCGCGCGATTTAAACCGGAAAGGCGATCGGGGTGAGGAAACGGTAAATGCATGACTTTGATAGAGGTGGTGAAACCGGATGACAGTCGGGAGGAGTCTGCAGAGCACTGAGGCATCAAGGAAGAGGATTTTGTTCTAAAAAAAGGGACTATGGAAGGCCGGGATTTGAGGTGTACTCTAGGTACTGCGCGGCTATATATTGTATCTCGGGAATTCAAAGTGTCTAAACAAACTTTGGTGGAATCAATATCCCAGATACATGTGTCAAGAATGTCAAGAATAAGGAGTAGTATGGAGCGAGGGTATCGGTGGCGATGGTGGCCAAAATTGGCTGCAAAGCCTCTGAATTCGAGAGCATACTGCGTTGGGCTGCGTACCGGGGGTGGGGTCGTGGGTTATGTAGAAGAAGGCTTGCGGCTTCGGGGTGAGCCACGAGGATCCAGTCGATGACGGTAATATTCGAGGTATGTCTTCTGAATGCAAGAATCTTAATATAGCAATCGCAGTGGTATGGGAGAAAAACCGAGAGGCCAGTCCTTCGAGAAAAATCATAGGCTACGACAGACCTTCGCACTTTCAGGCCCACCACCTTATCACCGGGGGGGGTTAATATCGCTTAGCTACTTGCAGTCTAGCCGAATTGTCGATTTGCTCTCCTTGCCAAGACTATAGCCCCATACTCATAGTACGGTACAGTACGTTAACTGCTGTTAGGGGAGACGGGAGCATACGTCAAAGATGACAACAATAGTTGTCATCAAGCTTTCTTTATTCATTGTAAGTTTCTGATTATTTCTATGGATGACGATGATGAAATCGCGGCTTGTAAGGGGGCGGGTAGGGAATAATAGGGGGGGCAGGACTACCGAGAAAGAGACATGTATCGCCGGAGTTCCTTCTTTCTCTTTTTCTCTCATCATCATCTTGTCTTGTGGAGCAATCTTTTCTTCTTCGGTCCGCTTTCTAAACTATCATTGAAATAGCTGGCATCAGTGAAGTTCTTTCCCCAGCTCGTTGGTATCAACGACACGAGGAACGTTTGCCCTTTTGCCATAACCCACAAAAGAACACCTAGCGGAGAGGAGAAGCGACAGTATAGCACCTTCTCGAGTACAGGTACCCTACCACTAGCTTTAAAACTAGTGGCTCGTAGCCTTCGGCTATTATATCATATCATACACGCGCAGGTGATGTAATAGTACCCTCTGCTCCGTTACCGCAGAACTTTGTTCAGATAGAGTCTGACATTAGCTCCCGAAATTTACTTGAGAAGTGCCCTAGTTTATGGGGAGGTGGAGTTGGGCTTCGCCCTAACTCTGGTTGGACCGGTTGCTAAAATGCGCCAAACATATGATACCGGTAATCTCCTCATTTCGGAACCCTTCGAAGGGCACTAGTCACGGATCTCTTAAAATCTTCGGTAAAGACTCGCTGCAAGAAAAGGTATCGTATACTTCCTGTAAGCGAAATTCCCACAATAGTACTGCCTCTAGCGATCGCAACAGGGCAAGAAAGCTCTGAAAAAAAAATAGCTCAGGGAATTTTGGGCTCCCATTTTCGCAGCCCCCGGGAAATTTACTGTACGGTATAATACTTCTCTCTGTGGGGTTGCCCAATTCCCCTCTTTTATCTTGCCATCTTCCCAAAAAAGCTCAACTTTCTTATAGCAAAAAATTATAGACTGTGATGAGAAGTACCCTAGCTCAGGTTGACCGTTCATAATTTGTTAGACCCCCGGGATAAAGGTGATGTAGGGAGGGAGCACTGAACTATAATTTTGTGGGCCCTTGGTCGAAGACCCCACAAATGGAAGATTCACCTGTAGTTGTTACATACTTTCCGTAGCGAATTGCTGAATTCAGTTGATATGGTAAATTCCCGTGTCGTGGTTTTCTGTGTTGTGCAGTCGCGCCTCTTTTGTTCCAAACCCCTACTTTTTGTCCAATACCAAGTGAGGAGACCGGGGGTGGGGGCATCGAGGAAATTTACATTCCGGCAGCTCTCCGATTGAATGGAAAACCGGTTTAGCTATCGGAAGTTTGTTGGAGATATGGCTGGGCTAAAGCAGGGGTTGTGGGAGTCCTTTCGGTGTTGGGACAGCGCACCGTATATTCCTTTGTTACCTCCTTCCGCCTTCAGAACACACGCTTGACAAAATAGCATCTTTCCTTATCAGACGTCATTTAGCTTCCCCTGCATTCACGTATCATATTAACTCTTCCTTGGCCAATAAGGGAAACCGAGGGAGCCCCAAACCTATGTTATTGAGGCTGAGCCAGCCCGGGTTAAGATTCTGTCGGGTTCGGCGAGCTTCACAAATTCCTAAGATCGGGTAGGTTGGGTTTCTGTCCAGGATTAACTTGCGCGAGCGACTAGGTTACTAAATTTAGAGGCTCTGTAGGGATGGTTTCTCAATCATTGCGAAACAGCCACGGGCTGTCGGTATGGTAGTAGAGCAAAAACCCCGAGACCAGGGCTACTCTACACGAAACCAAGCCCTCTTTACCGAATATCCCGCGCCCCGAAAGCAGTACAGTGGGTATAGAGTAGCTCTCGGCAAAGATAATTGAATTGAAGATTTATGGAACCGAGAAAGCCAAGTCTTACATATAGGAGATGCAGAAAAGAGGTATTGGAAGACAAACACACTAAGGCGTAAGTCGTATCCATCATGGTCAGGCCCGGGAGAATCAAGGACCGGGTCGGATGAGAAAAAGGAACAATCATTAGTCGTCTGTGGAGCACCGGATCCATTGGGCTATGCCCGAAAGGTATAAGGGTTGGAGCGGGATGGCGTGAGAGAAGGGAGCACTGGAAACAAGTTAAGAAAGCAGAGGAAACCCCCTTGGGGTCAATCTATCAACGCCCCCCCGCACACGCAGATCCTTGCCCGGATGACACTAAGCTATTTCCCCTGAAACTTCTAAGAGGATATCACGGATATCCGCTCTCCCGTAGTCTTGGATGCAATCACTGCTACTTATCGGCTCCCTAGGCCGAGTTTCCAACCAAGGGGCAGTGCCCTGTGGCCTCGAGATGATTCTGAACACACCCGTGGCGGATGAGGCGGAGGCGGGGGTCAGAAGTAGTTCGCAGTGGGACTGGCAAGACGCACGGGGAGTGACGCCCAGTTTATCCACATAGCGCGAACTTGGCCACGGGACCGCGTTGGTGTGAGGAAACCCTTCTTCCAGTCCTCTCATGGTTTTGCTCATCGGCATTGCTAGTGCTCTAGGGCCGGGGCGGGGGCCCACGGTGGACCCATATACCAGGGGTAGGAAAGAGAAAAGGATCAGCTTGTTCGAAAAACTTCCAAGAGATTTGGGGGAGGCATGAGAATTCGCGAGTTCCATGGGTTTCCAGACAGGTGGATGGCAGAAAACTGTCCTTTAGTAGATCTTAGCATTAAGATATCTAAATGCTCCTATTTTTAGGTGGCTACGTTAGATGGAGGGGGAAAAGCAACCGAAACCTAGACTTTTCTCGACACCTACTTGGATATAATGGTTATATTCGCCCTGCTATGGCTAGGGGAGTGGTGTATTTCCACGGTCGCAAAATATCGATAGCATAAAGATGGGCGTATCACACATAGACAGGGTGCCCAGATACATTGGTTTGAAGGGATGTCGCAGGAGATAATCTCAATAATGAACTTTTTATGATGTGTGAACTGGTATAACTGCGAAAGAGGAAGAAGCTTGATTTCTCCACCGCGTGAGCAGCTGTAGGTTGTTTCGCTGGGGTGAGAGACAAAAAGAAAAGAAAACAAATATCGGATAGCCGAGATTGGCAATATGAGAACCTCTGAAGGAATGAAGGGCAAGAGAAAACCCCGAAGGATAAGAGAAGATGTGAGAACCTCAGAAGGACCGCCGATGGTGAGTTGCACCGGTAAGGAGAGACAGCAATACTATAGTTTAATATACCGTAGTATGGTTGTAAGGTTGTGAGACGAATGGAGAAGACATGAAGAAAAACTTAAACGGGGGGTTAATATCAAAGAGAGTGGTGAGGAAAGTAACTAAGAGGAACTAGGTGAATGGAAACTAGTCTGTTTGGCGGATAAACACCAAATCCAACCAGATATCCAAGTGATAGTTAATGACACCACCGAGCCACTAAATTAACAAGTTTGGAACCCTCATGGCTCTGCACCCCACAATAGGCGTCGTCGCTTGGTGCGGTAATGAGAGCGTGGTAGCAATTAAGCCGGAGATACGTGGAAAATAGATATGTTCCGGCAGGCAACTATGCGCAACTCCCGCGAATCACTAGTCCGTACTGACGGTAAGCGTTTACAGGAAAAATACTGGACTCCCCTGCCTGGTATTTTTGATCCTCTATCTGTTGACGGCGCGCTTGGCATGATTAATTTTTGGTGGTCTCCGTTCTGGCTCCCGGATTACAAAAGGTAGGCTCAAGCTTGGAGGGGATCTAGTAGCCCGAATTTGGGGGTCGCAACTCGGCCTGGCATGGCGATAGGAGAATTTGTGATAGAGATTTCGCTGATAAATGAAGAATTTGTCGCCAGTAGTGTCCTTTGCAAAGTGGGTGGGGGTCCAATTCTTCCTTTATCCACCAAGTGAGTTCGCAACCTCTGGACTCGAGTTCCTAGAATTTAGTACAAAGCCAAGCGCTTAAAACGTTTTCTTCAAGTAGGCCTAAACCTCAGATTACATGGCGCAGCTGGAACCCTTGATACCGAGAAACGGGACCATAGAGAATCAACTGACCAAATCGCACCGTCCCCTACGGTCCGATCTTCGAAATAAATGGAAACTAGGGAAGCCTATTACCAATAAGGTTGCCATTTCTGGTGAGCGTGAAACAGGTAACGAGTACACTCGCACCTCGCTGTCTCGGATGGCCAAAATCCACCCAAAATCCGAAGAATTTTTCCGGGACAGCGGATTATCCGGGACAACGGGGTAAACTTTGATGAAAAGAAAATGACATTGAGAGGATTCCATCGGGACAGCGGGGGATCTGGGAAAGCGAGGTGCGGGACAAGGGGGTGCGACTGTAATTTGCTCAGATGGAGAATCACTTGGGAAAAGAGGGGAGTGAGAGATGGCGTGATGTACTGTACAGTACAAGTACCCGAGTAGGCGGCTAAGTAGTGCCGGTTTTATGACTCTTGGGTCGGATATTGTGAACAGTTGTCGTTGGTTCCGCCTACGCGCCTCATGGTTCGTGAAATGGTGACAACGATAGCGGTTGTCCATAGGTGCGGTGTGGGGCATCTGTAGCCGGGGCGGGCGGACATTCATCCAAATAACTCCGAGAATCAACTACACCCAATACCCATAGCGCCATAATTCTTACAGGAATGGTTGTTGGAAAGCATTTGGGGCTTAAAGTTCAGCAACATTTTCTTGGCAAACTACTGCGGCAATAAAAGTTCCCATAGGAGGACTATTTTTCTCTCACGCCGCCAGGTGTTATTCATCGAGTCCCCGAATAGTACTGGTGCGTGCAGCTCAAATGACTGTCTGGGCAGTTGATTGGCCTGTGTTGGGTTGGCTCCCACACTTTTGTATTGCTTTTGGTTTCAGCTCTTAGGCGGCCCGTACCCGTACGAGTACAGTGACCGTAGCTCACCCTCCCACACACCCTCCAAGCGCCATTAAGCAGGCCAAGTCCCAAGATGTAATCCCTAAATATATAAGAGTCTTCGTTCACCCAGTGCCAACCGGAACCTGTATCGCTCCTCCAAGGTTTGCCGCAAAGACCACGACAATCGGCCCACACGCAGAGCGCCAGCCTCACATTCTTTTCATACCCTGAACTCCGACACCTCTGCACCATGTTCCCCCCTGGCCGCGGTAACGACAACCTGGACGTGGGCCAAAAATTTGTGATTAGCCTGTTTGGTACTAGCGAGGTGTTGACAGCAGAAGGACAAGATGTTCGTCTCCGGGAATACGAGAAGGATAAGCGGAGCCAAATCTGGGTCTGCGAAACGAACTCAAACGGTCGATTCGGTATGCGGAACTCGGCGACCGGGCGCATGCTCGGCCGGGGGAACCAGAAGGACGGAGTTGGGTGTTTCGCGACCAAACATCTTCCTTGGGAGTGCCTTACCTTTACGCGGCTTAGCCTAGGTGGGTATTCATTGAAGGTGATTGGTGCTGTTACCGGTGATAAGCTCTCCCCGGTTCAACGGAGAGACAAGACAAGTACGAGCTTAATGATTGGGACTGCAGCTCATCAGTTCGGCCTGCACCAGCTCCAGGACTCGGTGTTCAGGCGGTTTGAGTGGGTGGCTCCGGGTCGTCTCGCACGTTCGTCTGCGCCGTACTATGATGGCGAGGATTCCGATGAGAGTATTAATGAAACCTCAATTGGGTTCCTTGTCAGCCATGGTATAAAGAATATCATCAGCTTGAATTCCGTTGAGATATCGCCGCGGGAGAGAGGAAGGCTTCGTGTCGCCGGGATCTCATACTCGCACATCAAGGCGCTGGAGTGCGCCGCACCCACACAAGAACAATTCGATAAGATCTGGAATGCCTATGAGAAAGCGGGAGTTACCATCGTCTACTGCGGATATGGGGATGGGAGGACTGGGATGGCTATCAGCGCAATTCAGCTCTTCCAGGGTCGTACTCTGAGCGGCCTTGATTATAAGGCAAACGGTGTCCAGTGTCGCGTTCAGATAGAGGCATTAAATAAATTAAGCGATAGAATTCATGGGTGAGTCTCTCTTCCAGACAGGGTCTCATTCCCGAGGCTGACCTTCGCTTCAAATAGTGTCGAAAACCACAGCGACTCACCCGACACCCCCGATGTCCAACCCCCACCATATATGGAACCTAAAAAAGAAAAGCGATAGGACAGATCGAGATGGAACTATTCGAGGATGATAGGTTCCGGGGAGTGCGTATCGGTAATCTGGGTGGGTATTCCAATTCGGTAATAGGATGGTCGAGGAATTGCGTGATAAAAACCGAAATCGCGATAAGAGGCAGGCAGCGGTGGAGGTGGTCAGGTCTGGTGATGGTTGGGAGGGGGGATCGGTGGGGTACGGAGGTGTCGCAGGGAAGAAGCTTTTGTCTATAAGGGAGCAACGGAAAGGTGGAATTCAAGATGTGTCCGGAGTGCGCTACGCTGTCGGTTGGAGTACCTCTACACTTATCTATTGTACCCCAGGGGTTCAAGGCTTAAGAGAATTGATATCCTAGATACATGTGTCAAGAGTGAAAAGTAGCTTGATGAAGCAAGGTGTTGATGATTTTGGTCAAAACTGCACGCTTCCAGATGATCCAAAAAAACAGGCGCCTTCCATTGCTCAACAAAAGCCTGGGAGATTCCCTTTTTTGCTAGGCCCATTGGACTAGCGACCAGGCATTCAACTGGTCAGTTACCGGTATATTTATCTAGAACTGATAGAGAAGAGGAATTAGAAAGTCCTTCAGGGTCACATTTCTCATGTGTACGGTACCTCAACCAATAAAAGTTTAGTTATGCACGGTGCCATTATTTGGTTCTACTCGTGATCCTTATACATTCAGGCCCACCACGATTATCACCGGGAGTGGGTTGTATCACTTAGCCGCCTGTGGTGTGGGGAATTGTCTGTTCACTTTCCTCGCGAAGGGTATCGCTCCATCTATGATACTTATCTGTCCTACCACTAGCTTTAAAACCGGTGATTTATTGTCTTGGTTGTTCTAGCATATGATACACATAGGGCGGGCGATGTACTGTCCCCTCTTCCCCCCGTACTAGAGAGCTTTGTTTGTCTACATCCTGGTGTTGGCTCCCATCTTGCGACTTGTGAAAGTTTCCGGAAAGGTGGAGCCTGGCTTGGCGCTAACTTACTGGTACTCGAGTACAATTGTGTTCGATAATAAGAAAGAATGGAGGGCTGAGCTATGATTTTATAGGTAGCTGGCAAAGACCCCGCAATTCGAATAATCGCGACAGGGTAGTCACATCCACCAACTTGGCACGTTACTAGCCCGGTATCAGATGCAACATCATACTAGCAAAGCGATTAATCACAAAGCATGAGTTACCTCATGCCCCAACCACAAGGCCCGGCCCCCCCCCCCCGGTGTTGATCTGGGATATATAAGAGCCATTCATCCGCAGTTTTTGGGAACCTGTGTTGAATCTCCAAAGCCTGCAGGCGCGACACGAGCGATCCCTCCGCGCGCGGACTTTCCTCACATTCCATTCACACCCTAGAATCCAACACTCTGACATGTTCCCCCCCGGTCGCGGTACCGATGGCCTAGAAGTGGGCCAAAAATTTGTGATTAGCCAGTTTGGCACTAGCATGGTGTTCACAGCTGAAGGAAAAGATGTCCGTCTTAGGGAATACGAGAAGGGCAAGATGAGCCAAACCTGGATCTGCGAAATGAACTCTGACAACCGATACGGCATGCGGAACGGAGCCACTGGGTGTTTCCTTGGCTGGCTCGGCGAGCGCAGGGAGTTGTTGTGTTCGATGGCACATCTCCTCGGGTGCGAGTGGGTTACATTCACACGGCTTAGCCACGGCGGGTATTCCTTAATGGTCGCTAGTCGTGAAGGCCAATTTGGTATAAAGCTGGATCCAGTTCAACACACGGGCCAAGAAAGTAGTAGTCCGAGCTTAAAGATTGGAACCACATTTCACCAGTTCGGCCTACACCGGCTCAAGGACTCAGTTTTCAGGCGGTTTGAGTGGGTCGTACCTGACCGTCTAGCACGCTCATCGGCTCCATACTACGATGGTGAGGATTCAGATGAGAGTATTAATGAAACCTCAATTGAGTTCCTTGACACGCATGGTATACAGAATATCATCAGCTTGAATTCTGTTGAGATATCGCCGCGGGAGAGGGGAAGGCTCCGTGACGCCGGGATCTCATACTCGCACATCAAGGCGCTGGAGTGCGCCGCACCCGCACAAGAGCAGTTTGATCAGATCTGGAATGCCTATGAGAAAGCGGGGGTTACCATCGTCTACTGTGGATATGGGGATGGGAGGACTGGGATGGCTATCAGCGCAATTCAGCTCTTCCAGGGTCGTACTCTAAGCGACCTTGACCACAAGGCCAACGGCGTCCAGTGTCGTGTTCAGATAGAGGCATTAAATAAATTAAGCGATAGAATTCATGAGTGAGTCTCTCTTCCAGACAGGGTCTCATTCCCGAGGCTGACCTTCGCTTCAAGTAGTGTCAAAAACCACAGCGACTCACCCGACACCCCCGATATCCAACCCCCACCATATACGGAACCTAAAAAAGAGAAGTGATATGATGTGCCGCGATGGGGTTATGCGAGGATGGTAGCTTCTGGGGAGTTGCATATCGGTAATCTGCGTTGGTATTCTGGTTGGGTAATAGGAGGGTGGAGGATTGCGCGATACAAACCGAAATCGCATCGCGATCAGAAGCAGGCAGCGGTGGGCGCATGAGGTGGTCAGGTCTGGTGATAGTTGGGAGAGGTAGTCGGTTGAGCGCGGAGGTGTTGGAAAGAAGAAATTTTTGTCTATAAAGGAGCAATGCAAAGCCGGTATTCAGGATGTGTCGGGAGTACTAGTACCGTACGATGCAATGTCGGTTGGAGTCCGTCTCTACTCATCTCTTGTACCCTAGGAATTCAAAATCCGGGAGAATTAATTTCCTAGATACATGTGTCTTTTTCGTGTGGACCCGCTACAAATAAAATTTTAGTTATGCACACAGCCATTATTCTATTTTATTTTATTCATGACCTTTACACCTTCAGACCCACCATTTTTATCACCGTGAGTGGTTTGCTATCACCTTGCCACTTGTAGTGTGGGGAATCGTCGGTTCACTTTCCCCGCGAAGGCTATGGCTCCATCTACTTATTTGTTCTACCACTAGCTTTAGAACCTGCGATTTCTCGGCTTCGCCGCTCTAGCATATGATGCACTTGTACGCGATGTATCGTACGTTCTGCCCCGATAATGGAGAACTTTGTTTGCCTACAGCCTGATGTTGGCCCCCATCTTGCGACTTGTGAAAGTTTCCGGGAAGGTGGTAACCTGTCTTGGCGCTAGCTTGCCGGTGCTGGTACTTGAGTATAGTAAGAAGAAATGGAGTCCTGAGCTATGATTTTAGGGGTTCGGGTACACCAATGTGGTCCCACATGTAGTTGTTCGCGATTCTCGTGAGGAACTGATGGTTTCGGTTATCTGGTACGTGCCATGTGGTGAGGTAGAGCGCCACTGAACCTAAGCGCCATCACAGCTTTATCTTTCCCAGCAAGACCATGCCAGTTCTTGCCTCCGCCCATTAATTTAGCAGATTCCAATGATTCATATACCCCTCCATCAGGCTTGAAGTTTATTTTTTGGCAAGTGAGCACCTCTGGTTGAATAGATCCCCATTTGTTATCCGCTATTGAGTTGGAAGCGGAGCCGTGAGGACATTGTAAGAATGATTACCTCGGCTTGCCCGCCGAAGGAATTAGGGAATGTGTTTGGTATCGGTAAAGCGCCACCACTATGATTCTTCCGTCTTGGCATTTATTTCTATTCCATTGCTAATCCCTTCGATTTTAGAAAGTATACATTCCATACCGCTAGCCGGCTTCTTCATCTACCATCGCTGGAAGCCGCGCTGTTTTTGTAAGCTCGGATCACTGGCTGCAGTGCAGAGATTCCCCACATTTTCACTAGCCCTGACAACCTGGTTCTACCATACTGTACCGGTCATTCATAAGCTCTTCCCCCCGAATGAGGACAAACAGAAGGCCCCCCTTGCACCGGAGCAAGCCTCACACTTGGGTCACTAAGGTTGAACCCACCCGGGTTAGTTCACTGTCGGGTAAGGCTGGCCCCTGAAATTCCGGAGTCGGGCGGGTCAGGTCCGGCCCGAGCTCAGCTTGCGTGAGGATCAATCGAAAGATGTTGGTTACTGTCTTCAATGATTCGCTAGGGATTAGGTTTGTGGAATCACTGTAGCATTCAGAGGTAAAGGGTAACGTATTTGACCTAGTTATGGGACACTTTCAAAACTTGTACACAACATAAAGAATCATGAACCACAACAGCAGTAGATGGTCAATTTGGCAGCAACTGGGAAGAAAGAATATGGGCATAGTTTAGAGTATGTAATATAAAATTTAAAATATATTACCTAAAACCAGAATTTTTATTGAAAAAAGTATAGAGCAAGTAGGATTTTATAACTGTACCAATTAGGAGTTTTTCAAAAATACACAAAAAATAGCAAGAATATTCTGTAAACTGGATTAATTAGACTAGATACCTCCTCAAAGCTAGCTGGTAAAAGAATTGTGATTAGATATCGAACAGAATTAAGTCATTAGCTTGAATAAAGATGCAAATTGCTTTATTTTAAGAATATTATACCATATAAGAAAACTTGAACTGCAACAGCTGTAGAGGTTCAATTGAGCTACAACTTGAAATATTCAATATAGATATTATGTAAAATATACCATAAGAGTATTGTTATCTAGAACCCAAAGGAAGAAATATTGTTACAAAAATAATAAAGCAAGTGAGATTTTATGATTGAACAAAGAAGTAATTATTTGAAAATAAAATAAAAATAAAAAAAATAATCTGATGCCAGGATTAAGTAGAGATGATTCTCAATTGCACATATACTACTGAAGTATATTGATTAGAAAGATGGGAAGACCAAATTACTAGTTTGAAGAAAGAGGAAAATTGTTGGAGTTGAGGTAA